TGCATTGATGGTAGGGAAGGTGTTTGAAGTGGTTTTAGCAAGAATGCACGATGGAAATGAGTTGTGGGATTCAATCTGCAGCAGGCCCTGTTTTTGTGCAGTTCAATGGTGATTTTGTGAATGAGAGTGTTTGGGACTTGGTTGGCTCGTGTTCTAGCTCAGAATGGATGTTTTGGATATGTTTTACAAGTTTGCTTAAGCATGTGTTAGCTAATATGAGAGTTGTTGGACATTTTGGAAAGCTTGGAATGTGTACTACAATTCATCTTTGAAATGCAAATTGAAATTCCAAGTGGAAGTATGTGAAAAATGGTCTTGAAGTTAGGCAAAAATCCTGCCTAAAATAGGTCAAATTTTCTCTAAGTTAAGAATGGTTTGGTACCCTTGTTCCAAAAATTGTAACTTGAGCTACAAGCTTCTTTTGGGAAAACTTTGTGAATTAAAGTTGTAGATTATGTAATAGACTACAACTTTCATGTTTTGACTTTTGCTTGAATCCAAATGAATCTTGGTGAGAAAGTGGGGCAAAGTTAGGAAAAAATTAGGGTTTTTCATAACTTAGAAAAATTCTAAGTTATGAAAAATCTTCATTTCAAACCCTAATTTGCAATTCTTGATTTCTTGATGAACAAGTTTAATGATTTGGCATGTTTTGATGAAAAATCAATCTTGACACTTGATTTTGACCAAAAAGTCAAAGTTTGACTTTTCAGTATACAGTCAAAATTGATCAATTGACTGGGAAATTCAACTGTCAATCTTGTGTATTTGGGATCTTTTGAACTTGTTGAGCATGTCAAGACAATTCCATGGGGTCCTTGAGTCCATATGTGAGCTTGGTTTGCCATTGGCTAGGTCAAACAGTCAAAAATTGCCTTTGTGCAGTCAAAACCCTAAAAATGACCATTTTGCCCTTTTGATGATCTGATCAAATTTCTTGTGGAATTGTGATCCAAACTTGATCAAATGGTCCATGTGAGTTCATAATGTTGATGTGGGTCAATTTTCATGAGATTTGACTGTCAATTGGCCACAGTTGACTTTTTCCCCAATACAGTTGATTTCTAGGTCAACTGTCCAATTGACTGGGCAAAATTTGGAATCAGGACTTGAAATTTGGTATGGATAAACTTGGGAGTCCAACATGAAGCATGAAAGTCATCTTAGGCATTTTAGGTCAAAATATCTTTGTTCAAACACAAACCCTAATTTGGGTCAACAGTGCAAGGAGAAGTCTTGAGCAGAGGAAACCCTAATTGTATCTTGAGCTCCAAGGGTTTTGTGATGAGAAAATGTTGAGGAAATGGGAGGGCAAATTTTGGGGTACAACAGCTGCCACCTATCCTGGCCCTATTCTGCACACATAAATTTTTTGTGTAAGACTCCACCCATCAACTCCAATGGCCTTGCATGCAACAAAGAAAGGAATCCCAAAGGCTATCACGTAGCCTGAGCCTATGCTGTAAGAAATGACACCTCTTATTCGCCAAATGGGGTGGAGACACCATTCATTTTTGTACTCTTTCGCCAAGTGAGATGGCGCCTCCCTTACTGTCCAATCGTGATACATGCATGGGCTTATGAAACCCCATAGGCTGCCACCTATCCTGGCCCTATTCTGCACACATAAATGTTTTGTGTAAGACTTCACCCATCAACTCCAATGGCCTTGCATGCAACAAAGAAAGGAATCCCAAAGGCTGTCACGTAGCCTGAGCCTATGCTGTAACAAATGACACCTCTTATTCGCCAAATGGGGTGGCGACACCATTCATTTTTGTACTCTTTCGCCAAGTGAGATGGCGCCTCCCTTACTGTCCAATCGTAATACATGCATGGGCTGCCACCTAGCCTGCAAGAGTGACACCTTACATTTTTTGTAAATGCATGCATGCATATGTGTAACACCCTAAGCATGCAAATGTGACACTTCGCAGGCATGCAAGCACAAGCAACCACTACATCAAACTTATTTGCCTATAAATACATACCTTATGAAACATCTCTCACACCCACACAACTCTCACTCTCTGCTACGAAATATTTCTTAAGTCTATCATACTCTCTATTTCTTCCTAAGTCTTTCATACTCTCAAGCATTCTGAACAATGGCTCTTCTAACAATGGGCGATACTCACAGAGGCACAAGGGAAAATATTGCTGCATTTGTAAGTCTCTTCTTTGGTTATACATTTTTCATACTTCAAATAACGTGTTGTTCATCTTAATTAATCTTACACTTGTTTAATTATGATCTCAGGATACAAAAAGATTCAGAATCCGTTCGCACAACTACCTGGCTCCCGACCCATTTATCGTCCCTTATCTGGAATATGCAGGTTTTGGACATGTGATAAAGATCTTCAACTGCACCGTTGACTCAAAATTCATTCTTGCAATGTTAGAGAGGTGGAGACCGGAGACCCATACATTTCACCTACCAATAGGTGAATGTACCATCACTCTCGAGGATGTGTACATGCTACCGGGCCTCCCTATCGACGGTAAGGCGGTGAACGGGTCGGTTCAACAACCCAACTCACAGTGTGAAGAACTGTTGGGTAGGAATATGGTAGAAGGTGGTGGAGCAAGAGGGCAGGGAATACTACTCACTGACCTGAAACGTCATTATGCAAGTATGGAATTAAATGAAAATTCCTCAGAGAATGACTGAGTAGTAAAAGCCAGAACGTATCTTATGATACTTTTTGGTACATTTTTATTTCCCGAAAGTATGGGAAATAGTGTAAATTTCATGTACTTACATTTACTAACAAATTTTGAAAAAACTAGAAAATATAGTTGGGGTTCTGCAGTATTAGCCCACCTGTACAGTTCCTTGTGCAAAAACGCAGTCAAGGAAAAATGTACATTTTATGGGTGCGCATTTTTACTACAAGCATGGGGTTGGTGGAGGATGGAGTCCTTAAACCCCATCAACAACAACACTTTTGGTTTCCCGTACGCAACAAAGTAAGTCATTAAGTTATAGCATTTATAACTATTCTGCTCTTTCCAAAATATATGCTAAAAATAACATGTTTCTCATTTCCTTTAGGTACTGCGTGAGGGGTATGGATTACGGCAAGAATCCAAGATTCAATGTCGCACTCTACCGGAATCTGTTGGATCACTTAGGCCCAGATGACGTACGTCGTAGCTTTTAACTTTTGTTCATTTTAATTATTTATACATTACTTTTGCGCTAACCTGATTTAAATTTTATCGCAGTTCGTCTGGAGACCATATTTGGGTTTGGGCCATGCTCCAAACCCAGAGGATGCAGCAACTTGGACTGCAAAGACTGCACTCATTCGGTTCAACATTGTGGAGATGCACCACAGCGACCGTGTGAAGATGCAGTTCGGAATGCATCAAGAGATACCAAGTGATCCAACAGATTTGTCCCCCTGGCATCTAAAAAGGGTCGACGCCCAGTGGGGTCTTACCAACTGGAAAGACTTTGCTCCGAAATGGTGTAAAATGTGGCAAAGGCGTCACCGCTACATCTTGCAATCCCCGGTTTTCCTTACTCAAGGTAACATGCGACACACTGATCAATATATGTCGTGGTACAGGTCGGTTAGTAACCCAGAAATGCACGTGTCTCATCCGAGGTACTTGGTTGACCCACGCACACAATGGGCACAACCCTCGATTCCCCATCAACAAACCCAAAATCCATCAACCTCAAACCAACCCCCAAGAAGAAACAGACCAACAAACACACAACCACATTCCCCACCACAACACAACTACAATCAAATGCCGTACTACCAACCACAATCACCACCAAACTACCAATACCCGAATATGCCTCAAACCCAACCACAATACCAACCTCAATACCAGCACACCCACATACCCCAGACAATTTCAGTCTTCCACATATCCCAATATGGCGCCCTCAACATCCAGCCTTAGCCCTGATATGGGAATGTCAGAAGATTATGACCAAGCCGACCAAACCTACCATCAACCACCATATCACCAAACAACCCAACATCCACAATACCAAACACCCCAAGATCCATTTCCTTTCTACCCCCCATACTCAGACGACCAATGCTACCGACCAACCATGGAACCCCACCCACCGCCAACACGACCAAACTTTGAGGGTATGGGTAACCGACTGTACCAGAGCGGGTCTTCGAGATATGGAGATCTTACTGATTTTATGGATTCGGATCGCATTGACTTCGCTGGGCCATCGACCTTGCCGCAGCAGGAAACGCGATGGCACCCAGCAAGAGAAAGGCGAGGACGGGGATGCGAAACCGGGGGTCATTACCGGGTTCCGGGGGATCACTGATGTATCTTTTTTTTTCCCAGTATTTTTTGTATCCATTTTTTTTACTGTTCTTTTAATGTAAAAAAGTTGAATGTAATTATTTTTTTTTAAATAAAAAATCCATTTTGTTGATCTCTGTCCAATAGGCAACGCACAGGAAAGAAAATTAAAAAAAAAAAATTTGCCCTAAATTTGTACATAGGCGCCATCTCACTTGGCTTAGGGCATGCCCTAAGCACTTAGGCGCCAAGTGAGATGGCGTCTCCCTTAAAAAAGGAGGTGCATGCGCCAATTGAGATGACTCCTCCTTTGTGGAACCATCTCAAACATGGTTATTTGCGTAATTTTTTCCGAAACCCGGTTATTTATGAAATATTTTTTTAATACATGGTTATTAATAAAAAAAATTCTTTATTTCAGACCCAAATACAATATTTTAATATTGGAAATTTCGTTTTTCACCCTATAGAATAAAGAAATACCTGTGCATTTTCTAAAATACCCTTCAGAAATTATAAATATATTTCTGATTTCTGATGCGCGCACACACATAATTCATTGGTATTTGAGATTCACCTTATTTTACGACAAAATTTATTTCGGAAATACATTTTCAAAAATTTCCAAAAATGCACTTCCGGTTATTAAAAATATTCTTCTTTGAACCAAGTCTTCATTGGCGTTAGGAGATAGGTCACTGACATTTATGTTAATGATTTGGCATTACAGTTTTGATTGGCGTTTCTTTGATTTTTGTTTTCCTGCATATATGTTTGAATCCGTCAACATGTATTCTAAATCTGACAGAAATTTTTTGGAAACTATACCATGTAGATCCATGGATATAGGATGTCACTTTGGGCAGAACATACTGAAACAGTTGATGACTGCTTCTTGCAACTTGAGAGCCTTGAATGCGTTCAAAATAGTAGTTATTAAACATAAAATGTCTTAAAAAAAACCATAGACAAAGCTTACACAAGAAAGCAAGAAATCATTCACATTAAGCAATTTTGCTAAGAACATCATTCAGAGTAGATACAGCTATAGCATAGTACTTCTCTGCTTCTGCTGGGCTCTTTATTTTTGCTGCATGATCCAACTGTCAACAAAAAAAAAATCAAAATTTTCAATTAGTCCAATCTTTTCGCGACCGCGATTGAGACAACAATAGTTGTAGTCGGCAATCTCATACATTCATGTAGTCAATACATCTGTGGTCGTGAGATTGTACAAACTTAATCAAACGACCATCGATGTACTGACTGACGATGTGACCATTGAAAAGGCTACAATATAAAACATTGATTATGTGACATTGTGAACTTACATTGTCGATATCCCGGAAGAGCTTATCGGTGAGTTCCTTGAGGGATTGTTTCTGGTCCTTGGGCTTTGAAGAGATGATAGTTTTAAGGTCATATCGAAGATAACCAGCCCTGAGACGGAGATCGTTCTGAAGAAATGGCCAAGCCTTCTGGTCAATGAACTTCTTAGCAGCAACAATTTCCTTTGCTGATTCCTTAGTTCTTGCAGCTGCTTCAGTTGGTGCCAATGGTTGAAGAAAGAACCTTTCTTTCAATGGTAGCTTAAGGTCTCTTGCTTCATCAGAGTTCAATGTTCCAGCTGCCAAATTCCATAAATCAGTTCATTCATATGTTGCACAAGTAGTAATTAAGATAAGTGTCAGATACTCTTTAGACAAGTGTCGGACACCACACCGATCTAAGGAGGATACTTATCTTAATTATCCAACATATGTTGTACAAGTGTTACATATCGCGACACACAACATTCTAGGGATGTTGGTGCTTCATAAACAATTCATTATTCTAGAAATTATTTGGTGGTAAAACATGAAATCCTACAACAATAATTATGTGACTAAGTCTAAGTTGAAGGATAAAAAGAATACTTACGAAGGCCACCAGAAGGTGGAGGAGGGCCACCAACTTTAATAGGAATAGCCTCGGCAAAAACAGCTTGAACAAAAGAGGAAGAAACCAAACCAGTAGCAACAAGACCAATAACAGCCCTTCGACTACTTTCCTGTTGTTGAGCTCTAACTGTCACCAATGAACGTGTTGTTGAAACCTTGTTACTGTTAATGTTACCATGCAACAAACTCAACCTGTTTGAGCCACTCAATTGAAGACTTCCTTCTAACACAGCTTGAGATGAAGAACCACGTAAACAACCAGCCATTGATGATGCCATAGCTTGAGCCATAATAGTTTCTTTCTTTCTTTCTTGAACTTGAATGTTTGATGATGATATTGGTGACAATAGTAATAAAGAAGGGTTTATGGATACGATGAGTGTGGTGTGTGTGATTGTGAGTCATTACCTTATCTAACATGTTGGATAACTTGAATGTTGTCTCAACCAATCATAATATTATGTTGCTTGATTGTGTTTCCACCGTGGATTTTTATCAGGATGACACGTGGACAACTAGATTATTCAATTATTTTTTATTTATTCAGGTGAATATGAATTGACTTGTTATCCAATAGAGAAAAAAAAGACAGATTTCAAGATAACTTACTGTCAATCCTAGATACTTTATTCATCAGCAAAAACATATAGATTATTAGTACTAGTTGTTTTATAATTGTATTGTTATTAATATTAGTCATTCAGAATATTTCACTTCAGCTCCTACAAAGTACAAACAGAAACCATTACAGAACATTTAAGCATTACACCAAAGGATGTCTATTGTCTATGCTTCAGGATAGTCACAAACTAGGGCTGAAACGGTTAAACCAAACTGAACCGCGCTGAAAAAAACTGAGTCACGATTGATAATAGCAATTTGATACAGTTTGGTTTACAAAGAATCAGTTTGATTTTTTTTTTGTAAAGGTAGTTCAGATTCGATTTGGAATCATAAAACCGGTGAGACAAACTTTTATACATGTTCTGTTTGGTACAAACCACTAATAGTCTTAGTCACAGATAACAAGCTCAAAATTTCTATAGTGAATGATGGTAAAACTAGGTTTCCTTCTTTGGAGCTGTATTTAAATTGGTAGAGCTGAGTTCCAGCTCATAAGAGACTGGTTCATTCAACTTGTTGACATGTTCGATTTATTCAAAACTTCAAAATATGAGTTTGTTCAGATTTTCTAGTTCGTGAGTTTGTTTATGTTGAGAGCTATGGATAACAATACGAGTTTGTGTTACTGTCACCCCTTCCATGACCTGTTGTTGGGATGAGGGCGACGCTGGTAGTGGTGCTTTTGCGTTTCTAGACTTTATCTTAGGAATAGCAACAACCACCGTGTGAGACCCAATTTGTATCAGCAATAGCAACTCTTGGTCTAACCGTTCTCGGGGTGGACGCTCATTCAGTCCAGCTCTGAATTCCAATTCTCTCATTTTCTTTGTTGCAAACTTTCTAAAGTGCAATGGCAATGGTCACATCGACGGATAGCCGAACATGCATGCAACTTGGACTTCCAAGTGACATTTCTCTACCATCTCACATCTCGTTGTTTCTTTTACTAGATTCAGCTCCATAATCTTCTGTTTCTCTTCAAGATTTTCCTTCATCGTGTTCGTTCTCTTGCTATACTTACATGTGTCTTCATACATCGCATTCGGTACTCTTTCGCATCTCACCCTGCCCAACACAAACGGATACCTCACCCTCTACAGAAAAACCACTAACAAAATAAAAGATAACAATCAATAGTATGACAGTACAACTTGATGCACTTAGGATCTCAAAAAACTGATCAAAGTGGCTTATGAGATTAGAAATAGATCAAACAGGTTTTACTTTATACAATTTGAATCGGGCAATTGAAGTTATGCATGCTTAAAGATCAATTCTTAATGCTTTATATCAATCTTAAGAGTTCAAAAAACTTTCCAAACATGTATGCAACTTGACAAGGCTTCTTTGCTGTTATAAGCAACTTAAACTCTAGTGAAAAGTAACTTCTCTATGCAATTTGAAAAAACCAACTTCAGCCAACCAAGGACCAAACCTAGAGATTTTACCTTATATTTTAAGGATGGTCCAAAACAGAGCGAGGAACAAAGCTAGAGCCTCTTATAAGCATTTATTTTTTGGTCTTTGTTGGAAAAAAATGACTTCAAGGTCGAGTCTAATTACAGGGTTCACTTGGGATATTAGACGCATCTATAGAGCCCAATGTTATAAAAATAAGACTAATGTTTTACACATTTAAGAAAACTTATCGTTCGGCTATTGCATTTTGAGTTTTGTAAAAATCACCGAAAACCACCATGATGATGGGCATGTGCAAAGAAAATGACCATTATGTTATATACTCATTTAGTCATTCTCAAACTCGTGATTCTATAAGTCTATATGAATCTAAGTTTACAAAGAAACTATTTTGTTAGCAAGTTAACCAAATTTTGATACTTCTTATATTACCTAGATTTATAAACTCTTCCGGTTCTGAGTTAGTTTGATAATCATCTTTAAGACTGGTCACATGTACCAAACCAATAAGCTCAAACGACTTCAAAATCTTCGAGATTCCATTGACAATTGTTTCACAAATATTTAACGCATTTGTTTTTTCTTAGAACAGGTATTTCGTTGAAAGTTAAATACAAGTCTCAATTCTTAAACTGCATTCTAATTTAATTTCAACTTTCAAACTTCTGCGGATATGAATTTTCCAAGACAATTTACATCCATCTACAAAAACATAAGCACACCCTAAAACAAAAGAAGCTTAGAAATGTACATGTACCTCACAATATTGCATTGCACATGAAGCTGCAATAGTGATGGATCAAAAACAAAGAATCATCTTCTACCTCAACGATTCAACTTGAAGGGTCGTATGAGTGCCTTGATTCTGCAGATCTTTAGAATAACACTGTTTTTAGTGAATGTCTCACATTCACCGCAGAGCAAAGATACCTCTAATATTAGTGTTTCAAGAATATCAAATAGGTTAGTGTTCAACCCCAAATTTAGGGAAATAACCAAGTTTGAGATTTGTACAAATTGAATTGGAAAAATGGTGGAATTCACACACAACACACAGTAATATGATTGATCATCTTGATAGCTCAAAATTTCTTGGGATAGAATTGCTCAAACCAATGTTTTGGGGCGGCCGGGTGAATTTTAAAAGCACGGCCAACAAAATTCTTGTCACTAGTCGCAATCATGCTTGCAATGGAATACTTTTTGGAAGACAATCCCTTTTCCAAAACCCACATATAGAATCTAAACCTCGGCTTAATTCGGTTCTCTAAGTCAAAACATATAAATGCTGGAAAAGTTTCCAAAAGCTCTAAGGACTTTCCCATCTCCTGACGCAAAAAATTAATCTTTTTCTCTAGGGTTTCGGGATTTTGGCTTAGAACCTTTGGTTGCTTTGTGATTATCTTACACAGCTTTGAGAATTCAATCCCTAAATGTAGAAGACAGTCAAATCTTTTTTGTAACTCTTCACTTGTTCCATGCATGTGAGTTAAGATATCCATGGTCATTGCATTTTCACCAAATCCTTTAGTATGCATGAAATTTAATTTACTCATATTATGAGTTGGTGTTCTTGCATTACGAATTGTCTTCAAACAACCCTGATAAACTTTATCATGTTCTTCATTGGGATAACTTTCGATAAAATTCACCAAAAGCATATGATTCCCATCCTTGATTCTATCGAAAAACCATTCTTGTAAACCCATAGCCCTCATCACATTGGGAAGATTCTCCATTTTTATTGTTCCCAACGCGTGAGCGTAATTCTTCCTGACATCACTAACACCTTTGGAGCTCATTCCAATATGTTTCAACAGCTTCAACACATTAATCACCGGCTTTTCAAAATCAAGATTCAACAACTCTGAACCTTGTAGAATCAACCGAGATACTTCCTCCTTCTCAACACCAAATCTACAAAAATACTCAACTTTTTCAATCAAATCCTCTTCTCTATGTTCAAGAATGACATGTTTATTCCTTCCAATGAGTTCACCTATCTTCCCTTTACCATCATTCAAATCATAAAACACTTTTATTTTCCTACAAACCTCATGCCAAACATCCACATTCCCTTCAACAGAACCTCCCAAATCAAAATCCAAAAACACCAACTTCAACTCCGAAAGCAACCCATCAATCTCATCAACCAATTTCCCTTCCTCCACACCAAAAACATAAGGAAAAGTCAAACATATCCCAACAATTTGCACATTACAAAAAGTATATCTTTGAAACCAACAAAGCCTACCCTTTAACTCAGAACCACTCATCCTAAACAAAAAACCACTCTCCACATAAATCACCCCAAGCTTATCCCAAGGAAACCCAAATTCATAAAGTACACAGGCAGAATCAAGAAGTGACCCATCTTCAGAAAAGAAGAACTTATCATGAGGCAACAAATGAGAAATTTGAGCATACTGAATTCCAATGCTTTCAAAGAAAAACTCAAATTCATTAATTGGGTTGTACCTTAAGAACCTATCAAGCTTCTTGGGGAAATCAGAAGATGAAAAAGAACCCAACTTTGAAATGAGATTGGAGAGGGAATGAATGGAGTTTTTGGATATTTGATCAGCGAAGGCGTAAGGAATGGACCTTGTGGCGTGGAGGTAATCAGTGAGTGACTGTTGAGCTTGTGACAGAGTGGCTTTCTTGTACCGACAAGGGAATTTGGTTTTTGAGGATTTTAAGGTTGATGTTATGTTGTTGCTGGTGGTGCAGAAATGGCGTGAAAGGGTTAACAACATCACTCTCATTCTGGGTTTGTCTGTTCTACGCCGGTGCACTGCAGAGGTTTCGCTTCATTCATCTTAAACAAAAAAAAATAAGTATTAATAGTATTTTAATTTCTTTTAAATATCTTGATTTTCATTTTTTTTTCTCTTTTTAAAATTATTCATACAACCCATTATACAATACTCAAACCCGAAAGCAAATTTTATAATAAATTTTACTTCTTTTAATAGATTTGAATATTAATGTATCTAATTCATGATAAATTTCTTGTGTGTTGTCTTGTTGTATTCTTTATTTCTGTTTTAGTTTTTCTGATGACATCCATCAAATTCTGATCCATTAGAATCTGATAACAGTTCTCAAGAAAAAGCAGACAAAATTAACACAATTCAACCCCCTTCTTGTGTTTTTCTCACATTCAGTTGACATCAGAGTCTGGTATGTGCATCAACCCTTAATAATGGCACATAAAAGATTCTAAGAGAAAAACATCATGCATGAATATGAAGTTATTAACAATATTAAAACCAATACATCTAGAAAGAACAATTATATTTCCAAACCTCTAACTTTCAATGGAAATTCTACTGAGTTTGAATGGTGGAAAATCAAGATGTACACTCACATCATAGGTCTTGATGATGAGTTGTGGGATATTCTTGAAGATGGTATTTGCAACACCCCACTTTCCCATAATAATTATTATAGCATGATCTACAGAATACATATATCAGAGTACACAAGTAGGATGTCACATCTTTCAAAATTCATAAAGTCTCAAGTTACTTTATTACTTCATTTATTCAAAATAATCGATTTGGCAACAAAATAATCAAATTAGTTCATTTTCATGTCATTGAAGCCTCAACAGTAATAAAAACTCCACAACATATGGTCCAACATCAGTATAAAAGTAAGATACGTAACAAATGAAATAATGTAAAAATATAACAAATTTCCAATAATCTCGTGTTACGTATCAGAGCGACTCCTAAGACTCGATCATGTAACACTCTTTCCAAGCATTACTCGGGTACCTGGTTATTTGTACTCCCTAAGGAGCACATACACAATGTTGTACCCCAAAGTTTGCCCTCTCATTCTTCAGGAAATCATCCTGGATTCTCAGAGTTCCTCTTAAACAAATCCAAGCCCTGAATTATCATTCCTTTCCAAGTAAACCATTTACAAGAGCAAAGCGGTCATTTGCAATCTCAAAAGTCAAATTTTTACCTTGGAAAAAGTTAAATTCTAAATACTTAGAATTTTTCTAAAAAAAGGGAGGGTGTTTAAGAAAAATGGCACTTCAGAACTTCTGAACCAACCTCCAGGCATAAACGGTCAGAAGTTGTAAACTTGGCTCAGCACATAACATTCAGTCAGAAGATGGCTCTTCAGCAGCTACACCAACTCATTTAGGGGTTGTAAACGTGGTTCAGCACGTAATCTTTAAACAGAACATGGCTCTTCGGCAGTTACGCAAGTTCAACCAAAGTTTGCTAGAAAAATGCAAAGAAGGCAACAAAGTCTGAAACTCCTTCAGAACGTACTGGGATCAGAAGGAAATGGGATCAGCAGATTGGGTATAATACTGAAGCAAAATCTCTAAGTCCATAGTTTTTAGAGGCAGATCAAGGGATCATGCTGGAAAGACTGA